AACCAGTGAAAGGGCTGATATAGAACAGGCCACTTTTCAGAGATCACTTTCTCCAAGTATCAATGTCAGAAGGCAGACAATAAGAGAACACCATCTTCAGACTTTCCAGAGCGAGCAGCTTGAGAAAAAACCCTCAACAGATAAGCAGCCAAGTGTGGGGGTAAAAACAAAACCCCAAAAAGTAGTTTCTACGTGTTCCTTACAGTACTGCTAGTAGATAAAAATGAAGATGAGAGAGTAAACTAAAAAGCAGGGGACCCAGAAAAAAGGAACACAACAGCAATGAGAGAAATTGCAGGGTGTCAGGGTGGACAGCTTTACACAGCAGGTCTTTAAGAGGAAGCAACCTGGACGAAATCAGGAAGAAGGTACAGAAGGGATTGTCATTTACCTGGCAGATTTAGACACATGGAAAATATACTAAGAAGCCTGTCAGAGAGCTGCTGGGGGGTACAGAAAGACTTTACTAGAAGTGCGTGTGCCCCCCCACCCCGCCCGCTGCACAAAATACAATAGGTTACCCCCAAACACAATCTTAGTGAACTATTTACCTCTCAGCAGTGCCAACCATGATGAACATTCTCAACTATGGCACTAAGAAGATGGCTCAGTGGGTAAGACAGCTGGCTGCTCGCCCATGTGAACCTGAGTTCAAATGCCCAGCACCCATGTAAGAAGCCAGGCGTGGCTGAATGTGACTGTCAGCACATTCAGCACGGGGGACAAAGACAGGTGGATCCATAGGGCACTCTGGCCTGTCAACTTAGCCACAGACAGGCTATCCCATTCTGGGAGAGATAATATCTCAAGGCAGTAAGGTAGAAAGCAATAGAAAACACCTAAATTCCTGCTCTGGCCTCTGCACGGGCATGCACCCCACATACAACCCACACTACACATATACAGACAGAAAATATTCCATTGTTGGAATGTGTGAAAGTGCATTATACCTTCAGTACACCATTTTAATGCACCACTTTTTTTTTTGTTAAGGAAAGGGTCTTACTAGGTAGCTTAGGCTGGCCCAAGACCCCAAATCCTCTGGCTCCCTCTCAAATGCTCAGATTACAGGCATGCATCATCATGCCTAGTTCTGGATTTTCCAATTCAAACCTCATTTGGTGTTACAGAAAATTCAGTATCTCATCTGGGTTATTTTGCATTTTTAAAAATCCAGTCAGACATGGGGTGGTAGTGGCACACACCTTTAGTCCCAGCACTCAGGAGGCAGAGGCAGGAGGATCTCTGTGAGTTCAAGGCCAGCCTAGTTTACAGAGTGAGTTCAGAAACCAGAACAAAACAATTCTTAGGAGAAAGATCACAGCTGGTTCCACGCCAGCCTGAACTACACAACACTCATTTAAATCCTAAAACCTCTTCGTGACAGCTGCAGCCCTTCAACAGCCCTGGAGTTGACAGGTACATAGCACATGAGCTTGGTACTCAAGGTGCCTAGATTAGAACTTTCTTAATCTGCTCATCTATCCCTCCTAGCTTTAAAGGCAGGTTAGGACTGACCCACCTTTATTTTACTGCATAGGTAAGAAAATTATTAGCCATGCTTCTGACTCAACAGTTATTAAATGTTGTCTCAGGCTGTTTCAAATATACGTTTATTTCATCTAAATGTTTTCTGTTAGGTAAATATAGTTAGCATCTAGCCATGTGTGATGGCCCACACACAACATAAAGGGGCTCTAACTAGACATAGTGGCTCACACCTGTAATCCCAGCACTAAAGAGGCCAGCCTGTTTGTTTTATATGGTAGTTGGCTAGCCAGAGCTACAAAGGGACACCCTGTCTCAAAAAAAACACAACAAAAACAAACAACAAAAAAGCAGTTCAGGTTTTTAAAACCCCAATGTAAATACAAGAGCAATGTACAGATGCAGAACTGAGATCTACTTTTCTATTCTTTCTTGTTTTTGTTTCGTTGACAGGGTTTCTCTGCGTAGCTCTGGCTGTCCTCTATCTCAGAGATCTGTCTGCCTCTGCCACTGCCTCCTGAGTGCTGGGATAAAGGCATGCACCACCATGGCCCAGCAAGATCAATTTTTCTTAAAAGTCTTTATACGTAATTCCTGGTAATGTAATCAAGAGACTACTGAACTAGTATTGCCAACTTAGAGATTCATTTAAAAGTATATACTTCACTTAGTCATTACTAAGACTTGTATAAAGGCACAGAAAAATATACTGCAAGATAAACAAGTACTTGTATACTTGCAACACTACCTGTGAAACAAATATATCTAAAGACTTGTTACTTTGCTATCACTTTTTTTGTTAAAGTAGAACCCAGATTCAGTTCAATTCAAACTCTAGAATCCATCAAAACACTGAAAAACTATCTTTTGCTTTGACTTCAATTTTTTCTCAATAAAGTGTTTCTATCAAAAAAAAAAAAATTAACATCTAGCTACATGTGGTGGCCCACATCTTTAATCCCAGCAGGCAGAACTCTGTGAGTTCGAGGCTAGCCTGGTCTACAGAGTGAGTTCCAGGGCAGCCAGAACT